CTGTCTGGACAGCAGCAGCTTTGCTCCTGCCTGGCCCGCAGGCCCGACTCCACCAGCGCCACACCCACTAGTAAGGCCAGAGACACTACTGCAGGGCGCAGGCCTGCCCGGGTGGCCCTTCTGCGGCCCACGCTGGAACTCCTTCCCCACCCCGCAGCCTGGGACAGGGAGGGACATTAGGCTTCCCTGGGGAGCCCCTCAAGACAGAGATCACAGGGCTCCAAGTCGTGGCTCTGGGCAAGGTGCGCATTTGTGGGCACATCCCTGGTTCTGGTGCAGGGGTCCTTGGGGACCACTGACTTTCAGGGCAAAGGTCCTTCTCCCATTTCCCATGTGTCCACAGGTCCAGCTGTAGGACCCTGGGCAAATCGATTTGCTACTCCATGAGGAGCCCGCATCAAATCCACATAAAAAGCTTACGCAGCACCGGCACAGGATAAGTCCCACGTAAATGTTGACCGTGACACTTCCTGGTCCTCCCCGTCATTTCTGCACATTCACATTTCATCTCTCTGCCCCCACGATGTGCTCTTGGAAGAGAGAGATGATCCTAATCGTCTTCGTGTCTGCCACACAGGCAGGCACATGTTGGGCTCTCGGGACACATTCCAGAAACTTCTGGTCAGGAAGGTGAGTCTGTCAGAGACCTCTGGCCCGGAAGCAGAGGGTGGCCCCCAACATCCATTCAGTGCAAAGGGAAAACAACCCTCCCCGTCCGGTCCCCCACCTACCCGCACACGCACACACAGCTGCAGGTGACCGGATTTTATGCTTGGAGAAAGTCGTCCCGTTTAAATTCATCATACCTGTGAGGGATGAGTGGGCACATTATCACGGAAGGGTGAGGTGGAAGGTTCATTGGATGGAGGCTTCTCCCCCACCTGCCAACCCCCAGACACAAGAGATCAGGCTCGGGGCCGTGGGGGCCCAGAGAGGTCAGACAGAGGACAGAGACCCGGCTCTAAAACAGAGCCGGTGCCCACCCAGTGCCGGTGCCCACCCAGTGCCGGTGCCCACCCAGTGCCGGTGCCCACCCAGTGCCGGTGACCCCCAGTGCCGGTGCCACCCAGTGCCGGTGCCCACCCAGTGCCGGTGCCCACCCAGTGCCGGTGGCCACCCAGTGCCGGTGCCCACCCAGTGCCGGTGTCCACCCAGTGCCGGTGCCCACCCAGTGCTAGTGACCCCCAGTGCCGGTGGCCACCCAGTGCCGGTACCCACCCAGTGCCGGTGCCCCCCAGTGCCGGTGCCCCCCAGTGCTGTGTCCACCCAGTGCTGTGTCCACCCAGTGCTGGCTCACTGGAGCAGTGGCCGCTGCCCACCCTTCTGGAGCGACTTTGATCCAGGCTGTTCTGAATTCCCCGGCAGGCAGCTGGGACCGAGTGCCCGTTTCCCTGCTCCCTCTGCAAAGAAAACGCTCAGAGCTTTAATTATACCTTCTCTCCAGATCTGTTGGGGGCCCCTAATTACGCTCTAGACAGGGCAGCTGCTGCTAGATTATTTCCCAAACACCTTTGAAGCTTTCAGAGTCAGAGCCTCCCACGGGCTCTACGGGCTCTACGTGATCCTAAAGGGACAGCAAAATGGGCTGGTGGGAACAATGGCTGAAGAAGGCTCCAAGGCCCTCATGAAAGAGTCTAGAAAGGAAACCGTGTCCATCTGCTTTCTGGTGGGGGTAGGGTGGCGGGAGGAAAGGGACATTAGGAAGGAGCCACTCTGTCTTGCTTCTGCCATGCTGACAGGTGCTCACGGAGAAGGGTGTGATCATGGGCTTCGTGTCTTCCCAGGGCAGTGATGAGCCTGGCCCCAGCTGGCCACGACGCCCGCATCAGGCAGCACCTGCGTGTGCACCGTGTGTGCCTGCTCTCCACCCACCCGCTCCCTGGTCATCCCGGAGACGGCCGCACCCTGCCCAGCAAGGCCAGGCCTGACCACTGAGGACAAAGTGGGCTGAAACCATCCTCACCCTGCAGGCTCGGGCAGAAAGGCCATTTGCGGATTTCTTTTGAGCCCCTATACTTATTGATTTATGAGCTCTTCTAATAAAATCGAGTCTCCACTCCTGGGTAATCTTTAAAGATTTTTTTTTTTTCCCAAGAAAATTCTGACTTTCACCCCATCCACTGAACTGAAACTCCTCCTGAATTCAGATCACCAGTACCATGTGGGTCCCAGCGCCCCTCCTGCTCAGACACCCAGAGCACGTCTCAGCTGAGGGCACGACCCCGGGCCCTGTGTCTGCCCCTAGACCCAGGAACGGAGCCTCTCTTGTTTTCTTCTCTAGCACTAGGCTTGGCAGAAGACACTACAACTTCCCAAATTCTTCTCCGGCCCTGTGGCTTCTGAAACATATCAACAAATCTTCTTTATGTTTTTTAAAGAGCTTGATGCACAAGTAACCATAGGGAAACAGCTGGTAGTTAATAAAAATTCAGCAGGTTCTTGGTTTTCATTCAAGGGTAAGGAAGAGGAGGAACTTTCTTAGCTCCTGTCATGACCTGGTCCATTATCCTGGTCCAAGGGCATCCTTGCCCAGGTGAACATCCTTCTTTTACTTTCAGGGAAGGTGCTTCAGAAGGAAGCCCTCCTGTGTTCTCACTTTCTTCCAGCCCTAGACTCTGAAGGGAGACATATTCATTCCAGAACATTCTATCCCATAGAAGATGTATTAGAGGAAACTCCTCTCTGGGTACTCTTTGCTTTAGTCTTCCCCTGACAATCTCACCCTCCAACTGGAAAATAAAACCAGACTATTCTTTTTTATAATCTACCCACCCAGAAGTGAACTTGTACAAACAGTTGGGCTTGTCTCTGTAATTTTTAGAATAAAATTTCAATTCCTAACAAACTACTATACACACAACATGGATGAGTCTCAGATGCATTGTGCTATGTGAAGGAATTCAGACTCGAAGGGCTACATACTGCGATTCCATTTGTATGATATCTATACAAGGTGAAACCAGAAAGACAGAAAACTGTAGGTGCTAGGGGCTGGGGTGACCAGGTGGGGGCATGAGGGAGTAGTTTAAGGTGATGGGATTTATATATATTAATATCTTGATTGCGATGGTGGTGACATAATCCATAGAACTGCACACCAAAAAGCTTGCAATTTTACTGCAAATTTTTGCCAAACTGCAAAAGGTTGCCAATCTTACTCTATGTAAATTATACCTCAATGAACCTGACTTTAAAAAAGAAGAAGCAAGTCCTATAATAATTACATTGGCCAATCCTTCTTGGAACAAGATGAGGCCTAAGTGGCTGTCAACTTACATAAACTCATCTACCCTAGAATGTAGAAACTGGACCTCTCTGGAAGTCAGGTGTGTCGGAGGATCACTGGTCCCTGCAGAAGGTGCCTAATTTTGTAAGGGGTTCAGACTGTACAGGATGTTTCTTCCCCATTCCTTATTTCTTTCGTTCGTTTGTTCGTTCTTTCTTTCATTGTGACAGTGTTTATTGAATACTCCCTCGGAGGCAGACATGGGGCTGGGCAATGCAGAAGTAGCTGCAGAACACAATGCGCCTGCAGCCCACGAGGGGTGCATGGGCTACTGGTTGGGGTCGGGGTGCAGAGAAGTAAAGAAACAGCAATGAAACAAGGAAGCTTCTGGGAGGAAGCCAGCCGGATCGTGTTAGCCAGGTAGGGCAATGAGCATGAGGACATCGCCGTGGAATGTACACATGTGAACAGGCTCAAGGGAGAGAGGAAAGGGGGCACATCCTGCCCCTTTTCCAACTCCAAAACTGCCCTGGAGTTGGTTTTGGCGGGAACATCGAGGCCAGGGCATGGGCATGTGCCAGTCATTTTCAGCTAAAGGCATCTTCCTCTTTTCCTCCTTCTACCAGCTTGAGGCTCTACTCTGAGAAAATATATGTCACGGAGGGGAGGAAACTGCTGTCATAATTCCGGGCTTTCAAAAGCTTTTAGACACTTAATAAATCTTTGCTCAACAAATAAAGAGATTTCAGATTAATGGATCAGAAGCTCCCGGGTACGTGGGCTTCTTAACTTTTCATCTGCTTTAACTTGGGACGGTTACTGGTACTTTCCACATCAGTAAAGCAAAATTCTGATGCTAAAGTGGGGACTACAAGAGCAGACAGCATCCCTGCAATCTCCCATTGGGTCCCCTCGGTCTCAGCTGTCTCACCTTAACCCCTAGACTGTTCCAGGGAATCCAGGTGGACATTTCCCAGGTTTCACCATTGGGCCAGCTCCCTGAATGATGCAGAAAACTATTTCTAACTGGCCTGAGTATATTTTCCTACATCACATATGGGTGCATGTCATCACTATAGGCCATAAGGAGGGACTCCATCCCAGACCACAAATCACTGAGCAGTGGTCAAAATCAGCCAGCACATGTAACCCCCAAAACACTGGGCAGAACCCCCACAATTTTAGGGGGCCAACAAAAGCTGCATCCACTTGTTGTTGAGGGCTGCTTCCATAGGCCACTTAACTGCATCAGTTATGAAGATGGCCTTCTCTGTTCTCAGCGGGGGCCTCGTGCCTGACTTTGGAGCAGAGTTAGTTCTCACCTTCAGCACCAAAGCAACTGTCCTAATTTGAGATACATGGCAACTTCTGAGATTCAGCCACCGGATAAATAAAACTCCAGTGTCTCATCACTACTGTGTTGATGGCGGTAATGAACTTGAGCAGGGCTCCTGTTTATGCATATTCTCGCTGCATTAAATTAGGCTGGGAAATCATTCCTTCTATAATATTGATATCCTGGATCTCTTTCTACAAAGGAGAACCCTGGGGCCTCATGAGATTCCCCTCACCGAAGCCTTTGGGCCCCGCAAACCAGGCCCAGCCCCTCTAAGCAGGCCTCTGTTCACTCGCGTCCCTTCGAGACCAACAGGAAAGAAGCAAGAGAGAAAGGGACCCCGAAAGGGGCCTGATTCGAGGCAGGGAGACCGGAAGCGGCATGGGAAGAGGGCGTTTGCTGGTGACTGATCGGCGAACTGGGACTTTTGTGTTTCAGGGTTACCTGTCAGAAGGGTTGGTGACAAAGTGGTACCGCTCTCCACGACTGCTCCTGTCGCCCAACAACTACACCAAAGCCATCGACATGTGGGCCGCCGGCTGCATCCTGGCCGAGATGCTCACGGGGAAAATGCTCTTTGCTGGTGAGTTGTTGACCCGGCCACCTTCCTCCTCCTCTGGTGTCGTTCTGTAAGGACGGGGAGCTGAGGGCAAAACACGTGCCAGTCACAAAGCACGCTAATCTTTTGCTGAAATTACTCCTGTGGCTTTTGTGGCACTACCTGGAGGCGCCTCATTGTAAATTCAGGCAAAAAATACTGGAGAGGCTAAAAATAGCCCTTTTGAGCACAGAACTTTTGCAAGCAAGTAACCACTTTGCTATGGCCTGAATGTTTGCGTACCCCTAAAATTCACAGGGTGAAATCCTAACCCCCAAGGTAATAGTGTTAAGGGGTGGAGCCTTTGGAAGGTGATGAGGTCATGAGGGTGGGGCCCTCAGGGGTGGGATTAGTGCCCTTATCCCAAGGGAGCTTGTGTGCCTCTTCCATGGTGTGAGGACATACAGTGGCGCCATCTGTGAGGAATGGGCCCCCCACCAGACACCCATCTGCCAGGGCCTTGATCTTGGACTTCCCAGACTTCAGAACTGTGAGAAATAAATGTTGTCTATAAGCCTATGGTATTTTATTACAGCAGCCCAAATGGACTGAGACACACTTATATTGAAATGCCTTGAGACTGATGGCTAAAACACCCACCCTATTTTCAGCCCCTTCCTCCTCTCTCCCTGCCATTGTTCCCCGTCCTGCAGCCACAGCAAGTGAGCCACATCCATCATCATTTTTTGTTCATTTTGGCACAAAGATTCCTTCTCTGTTTAGAAAACTCCTACGAAGCCTTCAAAACCCAGTTTGTGTTTTGTCCTCCATGATGTCTTCCCTAATTCCCCAGGGCATGAGTCACTCCCATTGCACTTCATATGCATTTTCGCCCGCTCTTTCCTTGTTAGGAAGAGCACTTGCTCTCTCCCATTCTCTCCTCATTCTTCTGCCGTGCGGCTCACACCCGCTCCATCCCACTGGAGCTGCATCTACCCAGACTGCCGTGTTCTTAATGCAGTGGAACCCGCGATGACCATTCCTTCTTTCTTGAGACTCCTGGCTCCCCGGGCTGGCAGTCCCCTCCAGCCTCGCTGGCCAGGCCTCCTCAGTTGCCGCGCACCTCTCCATGTCCCTCGGCCCTTCCCACTTTTCCACCCTCAGCCCTAAGTGCTGCTCTCGCTCACTTGTGGAATTGTCGCCCACCCCTGCACCGCAGGCTAACTTTGCAGAGTCTGGAAGCCCAGAAATGCTCCAGACAGTCATTGTTGGAGGCCCATGGTGACGCCAGCTGGCCTCCGTGTGCGCCGGCCCTGGCATGGCGGAAGGTCAGAGCCTTGCGAGCCGCCTCCTGGCCGCCTTTCCTCTGCCTGGATTCCAAACCGCCTGGGCCACCCGGCCCCTCTCACACCTGTCCTCCCGCCTGACCCCATTCCGCATGATGCTCCCCTCCTTCCCTGCCTCGGCCCCCTGCTGCGTGCGCCTCCACCTCCTTAGCTCGCCCTGTTCTCCCAGGAAGACACCATCTCCCCTCGGCTCTCTGCAGCTGAGGGTGTCCTCCCTCCTGTCCCCACGCACAGGAGCGGGCCGGAGCCTCCGCCCCCTTCTTGTTCACAGTTGCTTCGTTGTTGTTATAAAAAAGTGACCCTTCTCTGTGGCACATGCCAGCCAGATGGCCTTTCCTCCCCGCCTCGGCCTCCCATGCCAACACCTGCTCCCCTCCGTCACCCCCACCTGAGGCTGTCGGCACTGATGTCACCACTCCCCCTCTGCTCTTGGTCCCACTGCTGTTCTGTGTGGCTGGTGTGGCTCACTCGTCTACTATCCCAGCCTCAGAGTCCCCACCTCCTCAATACCTGGGACCTTCACTGTCCTCTTCAGCCTAGACTTTGTGTGGTCACCCAGAGCTGCTCCGGGGAGGAGAGACCTGGAGAGGGCATCGGAGTGGCAAAGGCTGGGTAGCTGAGGGTCCAGGGAATGGAAAAGCACATCAAAGCTGGGAGGCCTGAGAAGTCACCCACCCTGTGTCCCCCCACTTGTCCAGTGACTGCAGCCCTGCCCAGTGGGAGCACCTTTTGCTCTCTGTCTGTGGGCTCCTCGGAGGCATGGCCGGCTCTGAAGCCTGCGGGGCTGTCCTGCGCCCCTGGGGCTGCTGCACCCTGCAGTGCTGGGAAGGGAGGGGGCGAGGGAGGGAGGAGGAGAGAGTCACCCCAGCCTCCATTCATAACCCAGGACCTAATCAGATTGTCCCCCCAGCAAGGCCTCTGAGCCCCACAACACATAAGACAGCAGTGACCCTTCTGGTGTCTCTGGGAACAAAGATGTGTCCTTAGTATCCACCTGGATTCCCTCCACCCTGAAATCCCGGCTTTCCCTCAGTCTACCAACCCGAGCCTGCACGTGTCAGGGCTGCTCGTGGTCCCCTCGCAGCCCCGAGTGGAGCTGGTAGTTCTCTGTCACTGGCCTGGCTATTCTTTCTCTTTGTCGGGTGACCATGTGTTAGGTGGCTGGTGCGGCAATCAGCTCAGCAGGCGCTGAAGAAAGCTCAAGCCCACAGCCAAGAAGGAGCTTCTTACTCAACAGTCGAGGCCCCAGGCTCTGACACCCATTCTGTGTGCACGAACAGAGTGCCCAGGATGGGGACAGTGAGCACAGCAGGAGGGGGACAGTTGGGAGGCAGTGGGAGAAAGTCAGATGAGACTCTCTCCACCAGGGAACTTAGGATCATAAGACAGAATGTAGATGCCATCCCCAAAAGGGGCCCCAAACACCTCACCTTTGTTTAACAGGTGACTCTTCTTCAAATAATGCAGGGCGGGGAAGTGAGCTCAGAGTAGAGGAAATGGCTGAGAGTGGCCTTGCTAAGGGCACATTGGCAGGACTTTTAAGACAAAGCCATGTCTGAATAGCCAATAGGATCTTTCTGTCGGGTACAGGCAAATGTTAGGAGGTATAGGAACATATTTATCCAACGAGGAGTGACAAGAGACCCAGAAAATTTAATGTCCAACCCCAGCAGTGAGGGAGTTATTCTATGCTATTCTTTCTTTCATTCCTGCTGTCAACTTTTTCCAGTAAGTCTTTAAGATACATACAATATATTATTTAAATGTAAAATTAAGTAAAAAAGAAACAAGTCAAGGGAAAACAATGACAAGAAAGTGACATGAAGCAGAAATCAGGGCTCATGCCCCCAAAACCTAGGCCCCACATGCAAACGTCTTCATCTACCCCACCGGACTCCGAGGAGCCCTTAGTGTCTTCCTTCTGGCGGATTTTGTGCTTTGGTGGATCCTTGACCAGGTGCCAGGGACCCAGGACTGAGTAAGACATTAGCCCCTGTTCTCAAAAGTCTGATGGTCCAGTTGGAGACACAAAGGGTTAAAAGAACAACAACAGCAAAAACTAGCAATGCACACTGAGCCGCTCTGTGCCCAGGGGGAACCATCCTGCTACCTTATTTTTCCAAGTGCAATGGCACGGACCTCCCAGCTCCACGTTTTCCAGCCAATTCCAGGCAGGAGGAGAGAGGGGAGCAGGTGGGAGGGAGGGCTAGCCCTGGACACGGACTCAAAACTCTCCAACAGAAAAAAATTAGTGGCTGCGGTTGGAGGGGAGTTTTCTCTTGAGAGTTTTCTGGATGGACTCTCCTAATTGTAAATTAAAGGGTAAGGCTCACTTCTGGACTTAAAGCTGTTTCCCTCCCCAGCCCGGTACAGGCCGTGCAGAGGCGTGTGGGAAGGAGCGCTTGGGAGGTGCTGGGCCCGGCAGTCCCCATCACCTTAGCGCTGGCCTCGGTCCCTGTTAGACTGTGGGCACCAGGGGCACAGAACAGAGGGGATGGATGGGGCCTCGGATACCATGCTCAGCCCCTTCCTGCTACATTGGTGAAGCCAAGCCCCAGAGACGGCAGCAACCTGCCCACGGTCACACAGCATGTTGGTGACAAGAGAGAAGGCCAGAACCCCTGTGTCCCAGCCCAGTGCCACCCCACTGTCCCCTGTTGCTCCTCCCCAGCCACCTGGGCTTCTGCATGCCTCAGCCCCTGGGGCACATGCTTACCCACCTGGCGTTTGCGTCCACAGGGGCTCACGAGCTGGAGCAGATGCAGCTCATCCTGGAGACCATCCCTGTGATCCGGGAGGAGGACAAGGACGAGCTGCTCAGGGTGATGCCCTCCTTCGTCAGCAGCACCTGGGAGGTGAAGCGGCCGCTGCGCAAGCTGCTCCCCGAGGTGGACAGTGAAGGTACCTGAGCCGGGCAGCCGGGCCAAGCGCGCTGCGGGGGAGTCCTGGGCCTTGAGTTCAGCCATGAGGCAGCCCTGGGGTGGTCATTAGTGGTCCTCTCTACCCTACCCTCAGTTTTGCTTCATTTTTCCCTCTCCTCTTTCTCACTTGCCTTCCTCCCTCTTTTCCTTCACCCCCTTTACTTTTTTCCCTGTGGAAAGCATGGTGGGGCGCAGAGAACAGGAGCTTGCTCAGCTCATGGGCCAGACCCAGGTTCCAGTCCCAGTTCCACCAGCGACTAGCTGTGTGGCCTTGGACAAGTTACTTAACTTCTCTGGAAACAGGGATTCTGTTTCCTTAACCGTAAGTGAGTATAACCATACGTAACACATACAGTGGTTGTGACAATTAAGTAAGATAGAATGTGTAAAGCCTTTGGCATAGGGTCATTGTTCCATAATGTCATTATTATCACTGGGCCTCATCCCAGCCAGAGGCGTCCTTTGGAAATCCCTGTGGGAGTTGGGTACAGCTTCAGCCAATTGTAAGAGAGACCCAAATTCTCAATGGCTTAAATGTTTCTTATTTCTTTTGAATAATAATAATAATAAAGGAAATTGTAATATTTGTTTCTTATTTATTAAAAAGAAATATTTTCTGTCTCCCATAGTAATCCAAAGGCAGATAGTCCAGGGCGAACTTGGTGAACTTGCTCTGCAAGTTCTGTCTTGTGCAGCCAACTTAGGGTGTTGCCCTCATCCCCCTGGAGCAGGCCGAGGAGGGAGGCAGGTCTTTTTGCCCTCAAGGTCACGAGCTAGATTTGTACCCCCTTCCGCTCACGTCTCATTGGGCAAAACTTAGTCATGTCACCCCCCTACCTGCAGAGGCGGCTGTGACATGGGTATCTATCTCATGCCCCTGGTGTTTATTGTCATGAAGAAGAAAACAGGCCCTGGGGTATAAACTGCCAGGCTCTGCCATGCTCCTCCCCCATCAAAAAACCAAGTACCTGAACTAACACTGTCTTTGGCTACGATCCTATTCCATCAGCAAACTGCCTCAGTTTCCCACCACTAAAGAGGGGGGCAGTGGTTCAGTGGTTTTTGACTCACCATAAATTAAGACTCAGCCCATCCATATTTACTTTGATTCTCAAGCCTCCGTGAAAACCCCACCACATGCCAAGAGCTGTGTTCACGTCCCGTAAGTTCTGGATCAGGGCCATGCCAGCCATGTCCTGCCGCCTCCCCCACAACCATCAGCCACACACACAGCGGCCCCTGGGTGACGTGGCACTAGAAGTGGTGGGCGTTTTCCAGAAGAAGCCAGAATTGGAAAAGAAAAAAAAAAAAAGTACAAACTCCAGCGAGTGTCAGCATACCCTTCTCAGCTTGGCAGGGGCAACAGATAACCTTCATGTCCCATTTTGCCCCCCATAGCCATAGACTTTCTGGAGAAGATCCTGACCTTTAACCCCATGGATCGCCTAACAGCTGAGATGGGGCTGCAGCACCCCTACATGAGCCCGTACTCGTGCCCTGAGGACGAGCCCACCTCGCAACACCCCTTCCGCATCGAGGATGAGATTGACGACATCGTGCTGATGGCCGCCAGCCAGAGCCAGCTTTCCACCTGGGACAGGTGCGGGTCCAGGCGCTTCCAGCCCTGGTGTCTAGAGGTCACATTGCCCTGTTTCTTGTTAACCTGGGCTTGGCTTCAGAATCCTCAACATGCGTCCCTGGAAGCCACTACCAATGAATCAGTGTTGGGTAGAGATACATTTTAGAACAACTTCTGCCTAGCCACGTAATGATCTCTTAGATCGTTTCCTGTTCTTACATCAGGCAGCTAAATGTTTGGGCATCGCCATCTGCTAATTCTGGGCGGGAGTCTAGAAATAGCAGTCGAGGGCTCAGCAGCGAGGACTCCGGGGGAACCTAACTGGGAGTCCCACTGCTGTGGGAATGTGACAGCTAGTTACATAAGTGACAGATGAGCAATGTCTCCTTTTCAGTCATTTGACAGATGACGGGTTTCAGATTAAGGAGGCACCGAGGGAGGGCCAGGGTAGCGTTGCTATTTTGGGGCAGGTTTGCTCATTTGTTGTTGTCAATTGTTTTCAAGTGTTGCCAGCAAATAGAGATTAATAAAGCCTCTCTCTTCTGCCACCTCTGTGCTAGGCCTGCCCTTGCCGGTGGCCCCTGCAGCCCCTCCCCTTCCTCCACAGAATGTGGAGCTTGGCTCATCGAGGTTCATCCTATACTTATCGTGGCTGTGGCCTAGGGTACGTGCCAGGAACACTGTAGCAGGGTTTCTTTGGTCAACTCCGACCACCCCTCAACCTGGTGCACCTGTGCTGGGACCGTTCCCATCACACCTGCACGAGGTGGGAGGATGACCAAGGCCCTGCTGACCTTTAACCCCATGGATCGCCTAACAGCCGAGATGGGCTGCAGCACCCCTACATGAGCCCCTACATGTGGGCAAACTACTTAACCTCCACGAATGCCGTTGTCCTCATCTGTGAAGCAGAGGTTGCTGGGAAGGGTTGCTGGGAAGACTACAGATAATGTATGTTTGGCGCTTGGAGTAGAGCAGCCAAGGGCTAGGTCCTCACGAGCTCTTCCTTCTAGAAATCTCTGCAATTGCAAGGCCATTCAAGGGAGGGGGAGTGTTCAGCTCCGGGAGGTGGACAGTACTGAGGCCTTCCTGTGCCTCTCAAACCACGTGCTGTGGACTGCAGCTGCCTGGTCTGCCCCACACAGCCAAACCCGGCTGTCCTTGGCTTGTCTGTGGGTTCCATGTGAGCACCAGGCCTCTTGCTCAGGGAGCAGCTGGCTGTGGGCTGATGCCCCCACTGTGGTTCTGCCAGGAGCACCTGGCACAAGAAGGGTGGGCTCAGCCAGTCCATCTGCCCGTCCTTTGCTCTCGGCCAGCTCAGGGGCATCAACATGAGGCAGAATTCCAAGAATCTCTGGTCTTTCCTGAGCGTGTCTGTAATCTCTCTACAAGCCCCACCTGCTCTGCGTCAGGGCAGGGAGCTGTGGGGCACCAACCGGACCCACCAGGGCAGGGTCCTCAGCCCTGGCTGGGCCTTCAAATCACCTGGGGAGGTTTTATAAACACAGTGAAGCAGCGGCCCACCTGGACCTACTGAATCAGCATTGGGGTGGGGGGCAGCGAGGCAGGCATAGCATTTTATTTGTAATTCCCCTATGTGAGTCTAATCTGAGTCTGGGTGAGAAACACTGGTGGGGCCTTGCTACCCTAAATGTGGTCCCAGGACCTGCGACATCAGCATCAACTGGGAGCTTGTTGAAAACGCAGAATCCCGGGCCCCACCCAAAGTCTACTGAACTAAAATCTGCATTTTAACAAGTTCCCCAGGTGATGTGTGGGTACATCAGAGTGGGAGGAGCATTACACAGGTGGGTCCGCTAGAAAGTTCCATAAGGAAAGGGACTTTTTTTGTTGAGTTCATTGCTGTGTCCAGGAATGTCTAGAACAGTGAGTGCCTGGCATATCGTGGGTACTCAAGAGCTATGTGTAGGGCTTCCAATGCATGCAAAAGAATGCAAGGGTTACGTCGGACAATTGGTCCCCCCACCCACCCACCCCCGCCAGTTCTCAAGGCTCACGGTTACCGGTCCCATCTCGCCCCTCCTTGGGGGTGGAGGTCAGAGGCTGGCAGGAGTGGGAAGCAGGCCTGTGAGTCCCAGACAGGGCTTAGGGGACTAGGCTCCTTGCCTGAAGCCAACCCCCCGGGGCTCCAATCGCCGTTCCATTTGTACCCTTGCAGGTACCCTGTGAGCCTGTCCTCGGACCTGGAGTGGAGGCCGGACCGGTGCCAGGACGCGAGCGAGGTGCAGCGCGACCCGCGCGCGGGCTCGGCGCCGCTGGCGGAGGACGTGCAGGTGGACCCGCGCAAGGACTCGCAGAGCAGCTCGGGGCGCTTCCTGGAGCAGTCGCACTCGTCCATGGAGCGCGCCTTCGAGGCCGACTACGGGCGCTCGTGCGACTACAAGGTGGGCTCGCCGTCCTACCTGGACAAGCTGCTGTGGCGCGACAACAAGTCGCACCACTACTCCGAGCCCAAGCTCATCCTGGACCTGTCGCACTGGAAGCAGGCGGCCGGGCCGCCCCCCACGGCCGCGGTGGGGGCGGACGCGGTGGCGCGCGAGGACGAGCCGGCCAGCCTCTTCCTGGAGATCGCGCAGTGGGTCAAGAGCACGCAGGGCGGCCCCGAGCGCGCCAGCCCGCCCCCCGACGGGCCCGAGTCCCGCTTGTCCGCCTCTCCCCGCGGCCGCCCGGCCCCGGTCGACGGGGGCGCCAGCCCCCAGTTCGACCTGGACATGTTCATCTCCCGCGCGCTGAAGCTCTGCACCAAGCCCGAGGACCTGCCGGACAATAAACTGGGCGACCTCAATGGCGCGTGCATCTCTGAGCACCCCGGCGACCTCGTGCAGACAGAGGCCTTCTCCAAAGAAAGGTGGTGAGGGCGGAGGGGGTGCTCCAGGCTCACACACCCCCCCTGCGGCCCAGCAGGAGCCCCCACCCCCACCCCCACAAAGCTGGGCCTGACTGGAGGAGGCCACCGCCCTGGCACCTCCACCACCCTCTCCGCCCCTCTCTGCTGCCTTGGTGTGAGCAGAACACGCGAAGGATCCGAGGAGCGAGAGGAATGTCCATTTCTTAAACTGCCTTAATAACTAGCCTTTAACCTCTGGGAGCAGGTTGGGACGGGAGCCTGGCTTGGGGGTTGATCACTTTCCCAGCAAAGCGGGAGGGCCGCATTCTGTAAGTGGCGGTGTGCAGGGAAGAAACAGCCTGAGACAGCAGCCGTGCAGGCCCCACCTGGCTGGCGGGATGCGGAGGAATCTTGCAGGCATAATTCTGCAACCCTCTGGCCCAGCCAGCCGCAACTGACAGCTGAGGAAGGACAGTTAGGCCCAGAGAAGCAGAGGGACTTGCCTAAGATCACGGCCCTCCCCAATGTCCAGGGCCTGGAATCCCAGTCTTCGGGCCCCCAGGCCAGAGTCTGTCCAATATATAATGTCTTCCTTTGCTGGGGTCGTTCTGGCATTTTGGCCAGAAAACTTGGCCTAAGATGTTTCTTCCCTGCCCACGACCATCCGACCCTTGGGATGTTGCTCTATTCAGAGCAATGTTTCTTGTATTCTGCAATTGGAAACGGAACCAGTTTCTTTCTCCCAGTCACCAAGCATATTTTTCTGGCTCTCCAAGTACATAAATGTTCTTATCTGCCACACCCCTGTATTTGCCTCACCTCTGCACGGTCTGAAATCTTTATTTCCGACCAGAGCAGTTTGGGGTCGGTGGGGAAAATCAATGCTTCTTCCAGGCCTGTGTGCACCCCTCCTCCCGCACTCCCTATGCACTTTCCTGCCACGCAAAGACACAGCCCTCGCTCCCCGGGGACGTCCTACACGGGCGAGGTTGAAGACAGCGATTCCAAGAACCCTTCCAACCTCCCCCTCCCAATCCCCCACTCACCCCCACCCAGCTCCTCTCCAAGCCTACCTCGGGACCTGATGTTCTCCACACCATTTGCTCACTGGGAGGACAGCAGGGAGGTGCCTGCCATAGAGCAAACGTGTTAGGAGAGAAGGTTTCACATGGACCCATCATCCTTCATTAACACTGCCCTTGATTTTGATCATCCCTTTAGCCTTGGCAAAGAGCAGACCCTAAAGAAATGCACTGGAGAACAAGTGACCTTGGGGACAAGGAATCCAGAAAGGTAGGGAGGTGTGGAAGGAGGGGTGTCAACATCGAGGGCTCTCAGGGGTCAGGCCCCAGCATGGAGACCTCACGACGACAGAGGGGACCCAGAGCAGTGTAGGCCAGGATGAGTCTGGAGCGCACAGACCCAGAGGTGCACTTGCGCAGAGTGTGGGGTAATGGTGTGTAGACTCAGCAGGCCCTCTGCAGACGCGAGGGTTGGGGACACTGGCAGCCCCCATTCCGGTCCCCTGGAATGCTCTGCCATTTCTGGCACTGGTGTTCAGCCCCTCCCCTCCCCAGCACCCACAGAGATAGCCCCTCCCCTCCCCAGCACCCACAGGAAGTCCAGCCCGTCTGTAGGTAGAGGGTACTTCGCGGTGTTGGTCTTGGGCTGTGTTCCTCCTCACATCACAGCACCTTAAACCTAATCAGCAAACCACAGTTTGTACATCAAAACCTGCAACATGTTAGAAATTTATATTTAAAAACAGAATTAATCACACTGACCAATTTTTGAATAGCAAATATGTAAATATGAAGTGTTTGAGTTTGAGGGTTTTTTTGTTTTGTTTTTTAAAGAAAAGGAATATACACCACTCCTCATGTGCCATTTTGTCCTCCGAGGGCGGCTTTGCCTTTTTGGTAAAGGAGCAAGCCGTTGACCTCAGCCAGGAGCTCATATATAACTGTTATTACAAAGGAATTGTTATAACTACTCATGTTTTAAAAAGAAATCTATTAAACATTATTAAACTTGATCAGGACAGGCCAAATAAAGTTTTATTGGAACATAGATTTGTTTATGTCTTATCTCTTTCATTTATGTATTATCTGATCCTATCTTTGACAGTGGTTGAGTCATCAGAGGCTAGTCGTCTTCTCCCTGCACCCCTGAAGGCCAAGGTAGTTTTGGGGTAAGGGGGGAATCTACAGAGTTTAGTAACCAGGAAGTGACCCCACAAACATTTGGTGATGCTGGTGACCCCACAATCATCTGGTGACCCCACAATCATCGTGTCTATGCTGTGAATTTCTGACCAGGGCCAGTCCTTCCCTCTGGCCACAAAAGGTGCCACCATCATGAGATGGGGGGAGCTGACCACGTAAGCCACACCTCACAGATGCCTGAGGTCTCACCCACCTGAAACTGACCGCTTGGTAATACCTGTGTCAAAGGATTCGCCCTCACTTCATTAGTTATGCAGCAAACACAGCTGACCTTTGAACGACACGGGTCTTTTAGTTAAAAGAACTGTCCATTGTCGAAATGCACCTGGGCCAAGAAGCCTGTGACGCTAATTCTCCGATTCTCTGCAAAGCGTCAGCTCAGAGGAACTGTCTCCCTGCCGAGTGGGTGCGAATGACGACGGGATTCCCAGAGCCAGGGCAGAGACCTGGTTGGAATTGTATATCAGAAAAGGCTTGAGGCCCAATGTAAGTGAGGCCTGGGCCGCTAGAGTGGAGGGAACCAGGTGCGGGGCAGAGGGAGCTGAGAGGCCCAGACTGCTCCAAAGAGGAAGGAGGACCGGGAGAGGAGGAAAGAAGGCAGCCCGAAGGAAATATTTCACAGCCGCGCCTGGTCTCCTGATGTTAAGAGTAAAACTCCCGAGCCGGGATCAGTGGCTCGTGCCTGTAATCCTAGCACTCTGGGAGGCCATGGCGGGAGGATTGCTCAAGGTCAGGAGTTCGAAACCAGCTTGAACAAGAGCGAGACCCTGTCTCTACTAAAAATAGGAAGAAATTAATTGGCCAACTAAAAATATATAGAAAAGGTTAGCTGGGCACGGTGGCTCATGCCTGTAGTCCCAGCTACTCGGGAGGCTGTGGCAGAAGGATCACTTGAGCCCAGGAATTTGAGGTTGCTGTGAGCTAGGCTGGTGCCACAGCACTCTAGCCTGGGCAGCAGTATGAGTCTCTGTCTCAAAGGAAAAAAAAAGAGTAAAACTCCTCTTGAGAGAGTCCCAGGGACATTCTATGTACAACATAGGCACCAGCAAATACGGCCTCCAAGCCAAATGATTTTTTTGGAACATAGCGATGCTCTTTTATTTTCATCTTGTCCGGTCCTGTCTTTATTTAAAATTGTGATATTTTGTTTATCGTGGATTTTTTTTGCAATAATTTTCTTTAAAAAATTTAAATATTGAAATAAACTATTTATCTTGGTTGCTGAGATTTTGGGCACCCTTAAATGTTGTGCCCAAGGTGAGGGCCTCGCTCACCCCCACCCCGGTCTGTGGCTACTTCCCTCCTACTGCAGCGGAGATGAGTAGTTGCAACAGCGATCTTATGGCCTCCAAAACCTGAGCTATTTATGACCTGGCCTTTCACAGAAAAAGTTTGCCGACGCCTGGTGTAAGATGCCGTGTGGTTGTCACCTCTTTGTAAGTACATGGCTTGGCTTGGTTTTTCTAGCCACTGACATTCCAATTCAGAAACGATATTTTCAGGTGGGATTTTCTTATCACACAGCCTATTTTACTTTCCATCCTTTAGGGAGATATCTTCCTTTGCCAGTGAGAAGTTACCTTGAGAGTGCCGGAACCCTACTCTTTGGGCTGAGGGGACACTGTGCCATTTTAACTACTGCCATGGTTAAAAAACAGGCTTTTAGCTGGGGTGGTTAGAAAATAGGCAAAAGAGAAGCCCAACTTGAAGGTAGCAGTTCTCAGTTGAACTAGGAAGTTCTCCATGGAGAGGGGAAATGTCTGATGTCCCCAAATACATGGTTATGAGTCAGACTGTCGCAAGGATATGTCAAACAGCATCTCCTTTCACCGAGACTAAATAACTGGAAAGAACTTAGCCCAGGTAATACCTGCCCTGGTAGTAAGTAACCCAGGTAGTAGTCCTGCCTTCATTATTCTACAAATATAAATACGGACAGGAGCAGATCATCTAATCCAGGGGTCCTGAAACTTTTTAAACAGGGGGCCAGTTCACTGTCCTCAGGCCGTTGGAGAATGTGCACTGTGGGCCCGGGACGAGTCGGCTGCTAAGCAGGACAGGCAGCAGCGGCGGCAAAAACACCTGGCGGGCCGGATGTCCTCAGAGGGCCACATGTGGCCTGCGGGCCGTAGTTTGAGGACGCCTGAATTCTAATCCAACCCCTTCATTTGGCAGATGAGTAGACTGAAACCCAGAGCAGGATAGTAATTTGCCCTAATCCACATAGTTAGTGGCAGAGCTAGAAATAGGAACCATGTCATCTTTCCAGGATAAAACTCTTCTCATTCAGCCTAACCGGGGTGCAGATACTGGGACTAGGACTTGGAGGAAGGGGGCCAGCCCTGGGGTGAGCACAGAAAGATCACGAAGGCCTTTTGCTCTGCTCACCTCTTTGCCTGGGTACTGGAATCCTGGGCCTCTGGCTGCCTGGAGCCCCAGGGCTGTTGGGGTAGGGCACCAACAGCACCTACAGGTGTCAACAGTGGGATTTAATAGTGGGGCCAGGACCCAGGCAGAGAACAGCTGCTTAGTGCCAGCAACACACTCCCTGCCCAGGCTTGGGTTTTCCCAACCCTCCCAAGTCCTCCCTCCCTCCCTGCAAGAATAAAAACAGGCTTTCCGCAGCCCATGGCTTTTCTTTTCAGATCTCCTACACATCCCAAGTCCACCACCAGTGTCCTTCCAGTAGTCCCACTATTCCAAATTTGGGATCAGCAATCCCAGCCACTGTTGAGAAGAAGTGTTGGTGTCAAACCAGTGGGTCTTTGTGTCAGATGCTGCCAGCAGGCCTGTGGCTTAAATGAAAGGGCTGTGTTGTCTTGCCTGACTTTAGGGCCATTTTGTTCCTTGAGATGTGAGTTTCGTCCCATGAAACTGCATTAAGAACTTCACGAAGACCACTGAAAAGCCTTCCAGATGTTGGCACTTGAGATCTTGGAGTTCAAGTTACTTAGTCTCCACTGACGTCTCTCTCTTGTTCTGCACGTCCTCAGCTAACCAGTATGCGAACATCCTGTGCCTTGGTGTCTCTTGGCATCTGGTGGCACACATGAGAACGACAATGTGGCTGGGTTCCGAGGCCAATCTGTGGTCAGGAGACCCAACACAGCCCTCCAGGGGGCTGAGCCCGTGTCTTAAGTCTCCCCGACAGGATGTCCTCACACAAGTGTATGGCTTAGAGCAAGACCTCGTCTTCAACAACTGCGTCATCCTCTGTCTCCAAGAACTGCTAACAAGGACACAACAAGGATTTACATCTTCTCCGTTGTAATTCACAAGCTCAACACTGTAAGATAGAGTTTTACGTGACTGAGAAATTCAGAAACAAGGATGCTGTGAGCCTCTCCCGTCTCCAGCATGATGCCTCATCCTGGGATTTGGGACAGTCACTGTGGTTGCCCATTCAAACGATAATTTCATTTCAATACTCTTTTCTCTTATCCACTCCCTTCCTAGAGGCTGAAAAATTTTCTTCCCCAGCCTTCCTTAAGAGTACTCCACAGCCAAGCTCAATGAGATAGAAAGGGCTGTTTCCTGAGAAGCTTCTCAATACTCAAGTTAAAAGGGCTTCATGAGAAGAAAACCTTTACTCTCAGCTTCCTGCTTTTAAATATGGATGCGATGCACAGCAACCATCTTGAGATCATGAGGCAATAAGCCAAAGACAAAAGGTGGAACAGAGGAGTGAAAAAGAGGGATAGAAAGGGCCCATGATGACAGCATTAAGCTGCTGAACCAGCCCTAGAACTCCCTACATTCAGACTTTTGTTAAGAAAGCAATAAACATCCTTATGATTAAACCAGTTGGTTTTCAGTAACAAGTTTTACCACAGCTACAGGCAGCCCAGCGAACAAAGGGTTTATTTGAACGTCCCTGAGTCCCCTGCAATCTTGCTCTGCTTCATTGCTGCACCCATTGCAGTTTGGTAGCCTCTTGGTGCAGACTTGCTGTTCTGTTCTCTAACAGCTACAGCTGGAGAACTTTGTTACATGCCTGTGACCACCCAGCTGCCCCCAGGGGCTTATTTCTGCCCAATATTATGCCTTTTATTACATAGAGCCTGGCTTTTCCTATAGCCAAATGAGCAAAAGTTTCAAACCACAGTAGACTCTATATATGGCCATGTGTTGCCTCTCACCTCCTCCGGCCACCCAGGGAAACCTTCTTGTGCTATTTATTGTGACTTTAACCTAGAGCTCTCTAGCCATCCATCTCTCTAGTCTATTTTTTGAAATGTATACTGGACACTTGCCCACCCTCAGGAACAACCTCATTTTTCCTTTTACAAGTCCCCCTCCTGGCTTAAATATCTGCCCTTATCTCTTGCCTTTGCATGCTGGGAGAAGGTAGACATCTCTCCAGAGATAGTTCCAACTGCAAGCCCCGTCTCCCCCAGCATGAGGGGAAGGAGCGGCTTTGGTGACAGAGAGAACACGAGCCCATGTCGCAGGCCCAGCCCAGAGGCCTGGACCTGAACTGTGGCTCGTCTATACTAAGTGGTAGTACGGCAAGAAAACTTTTTCTGTACTCTCCTGTATACTCTCTGGCGAGAGCTTTTAGAAGTAAAATTGACAAAAGATAAATAAGAGAAAAACAGTTTATTAACATATGTGGTTGGAACTTGGGCTTATAAGCGTCTTAACAAAGAACAATAAAATTATAAAGAAGTGACAAGACAAAGGAAAAGGAGTTTAGGCTGTACGGAGTGGCTAACCCCACAGTAAGGTAAATACATGAGGGAAACTAATGGAAGATAATGGTTATTTTAGTAAGGTTTGCTATGTAGATTTCAATGGGAGCTCTTTCTGGGCTACAAGTCTAAAGATGTCTCTGCCTGCTTCTAGGCAAACAGAGGGGAGGGCAGAGAATTGTTTTTGGGTTTTATTCCCCCTCGAGTCTGCTATTTCTCAATTGTGTTCAGCTCAAAATAATCCTTATGCCAAAGTGCCATATTTTGAGGTGGCATATTTTGATCCCCTTTAGCTGTAAGTATAAAATACACACAAATTTCAAAGACTTAATACCCCCCAAAAGTCAAATGTCTCATTTATAATTTTTATATTGATTACATGTTGAAATGATAATATTTTGATATTTTGTCTTAAATAAAATATATTACAACTAACTTATCCTGTCTCTTTTTAATGTGGCAGGGTAATTCAAAAATTTTAAATCGCCCATGTGGCCGAATTATACTGCTATTGGACAGCAGAGTTCTAGAATGCTGTGACAGGCTGACTACAGCCTTAATCCCTTTACCATGATACTTCCTTTCAGTGGGGTCTTTATCTTCTGCAACTAAAGGAGTGGCTCTTACAGCTGAACTCCAGGCCTCATCTAGTCTTTGTGGGCAGGTCTCATTCACATCAATCACAAAAGTGTTGGGTTCTTAAAGATTGTTTACAAAGTCATGAAAATAGCCCTAAACAAAAAAAGTGATGTTTATTAGACAGATATAATAGTGTCTCTTGAAATCAGAGGGCAAGAAGCAGAAATGGGGCCTCATGAGGAACTGCCCTTAAACTCCAGGGAAGCTAAGGCCAAGGTTCTTCTGTCCACTGCCCTCTGCTAAGAGGGTTTATTATCTTGTCTCTTAGTCCAAACGCTTTCATTTCACTTGAAGCCCTGAACCTAAACGTCCTTCTGCTCCATCTGAGTTTAGCAGAATCAATCACTGAAGTCACCAGAACAGAGTGGGAACATCAAGATGACCCGCTTACCAGATTACAGGTCATTTATTTTATCTCCACTGGTGCCAGACATTGCATTTTACATTTGAGTCACATGGATCTAAGCTGTGATTTATTTATTAGACTTGACAATGAGATCAGTCTGTCTTGTGCATGCAGAGGAAATTTTAGTCTGATTCTGAAAGTCGAAGGAGCTGCCGCCAAGATGTTAGCTGATTTAATGCGGTGGTGGGGTGGGGGAGGCTTTTGACTCCGCTGGAGCTCGGCTCTCTGCTTGCAAAATTAGGTCAAAAGGGATGGGATGCCCCTGCAATAACTCATAATTATGGAGATCTGCATATATGGAGGATTGTGGAAATCAAACTTCATTTCTTAAAAACCAAATGGCCCTTGGTCAGACAGCCAGGGCTAGACCTCTTGTGAGAGTGGCAGACGTCCCCCCAGATGGAGTGATTGGCGACCCCTGACCCTTGCTCCCACTCCAGTCTGTCCCAGGGTGCCACCTCTCACCCATCACATCACTCCATTGAGATCACGTACAACCACGTTACCTGGAAATGTTAGGTAGATAATTCGGATCTCTGGCTCTTCTTGGGACAAGGGTTCCTGCTTTGTTGCTGTTTCTAGCAATTGCTCCACCTGGGAAGGCTAAAATGTGGGCACCCCATTTTGCCGTTGCCCTTCCCTTAATCCTGTCCCGGGCAACTGCTACACCTGGGGAAGGAGGGCATGCGTTAGCAACCTGGAAATTCTCCAACTCAGGCATAATAGGCTTTAGAAAGTGACCTGGAGTAACCTAATGGTAGTTAATATGCCATTGGCTTGCATCTACATTGTGGTTTACCCTGCCCCTTGCAGGTGAGCGCTCTTAGAGGGAGCACGTGTGTGTAGGCAGATGGAATTTTGAGGACACCTGTTGACCATTTTGGTAACATCCCACACCTGTGGAGAGCCTTTCCCCCCCCCCCCAACCACCACCCCCCAACTGGGCTAATAAAAGGGAACAATCCAAGCATTCAGGAAGAGAGCGGGTCGGTTGGTGTTTGTCTCCACTCGCAGAGGCAGGCCCGTTTTATTCTACGATGCAGAGCTGCTCATGGGAAACCGCTCCCTGCCTGCGGTTGTTCCGTCCCATTGGCCCTACTGGTGACTTTTCCAAGCAAGGGGTCTGAGGACCAGGATAATAGGACTCGCACGTTGGTGCGTCTGGTCATTCTGCCAGGAGCACACCAAGAACCGAGGGCGGCCTGCCACCCTCACGGAAGGAGCACCGCGGCTCGCAGGAGATCCTCCGCCCGCTCAGCTAGACCCGGAGCAGGGTCGGAGAGAAACGCACCCGCGTCAGGCTGGTTTTGATGAGACTGGCAGGAAACGTGGGAGCCTGCGACAGACTCTCTTCAAGGAAGAGAGATAAAAAGCAAAAACAAGACAGGTGGTAGAATCACTGACGGCTGGAGCTAGCAGTTGAACCGGACTGGAATGAAGGGGCCGACTTCTGCAGAGGCAGCTGAGGAAGGGGCCTTTGGAAAAAGTTTGTTTACTGGACACAATCTGAAAACCTCCCAGGGAGGGGTCCCGCCCTGGGCCAGCGACGCACAGGAAGCGGAGACTAAGGATGGTGGAGCTGGGGGAGGAGGACGCTGTACCGGACCCTGGCCCCTCCGTTTGATGGAACTTCGTCCCCACAGTGAGCATTTTGCGTTTCGGGCGGGGCCTCCCTGGGCCGGCTGCTTCCTCGCCTCGTGCCGTTAGTGGATCTTTTCTTGGGGCTGAAGCCAGAGTTGTTAATTTCTCCTTTCAAAAATCGTATTGCCACCTCTCCCAGGCCTAATAGCCCGAGAGCTAAGCCAGGCTTGTGCTATCAAGAGCAATGCGGATAGCATGTCTTTGGCTCTTCTACAGTCTGTGTTTAAAATGCTTAATCAGGAGGCCATTGGGCTGAGACAGTGGCAGTGCCTGGGGTCCCTATGTCAGCAGCCTTGCTAGTAAAATGAAAGCTGAGCTTGATCAGAAACTGCCAACTCCAAGCAGGGACATTCCACAGATCATACCCAAACAAGGCAAGCTCCTGGCTGTTGTCAATCAAGTAATTTCTTTCCTTTGCTTCCACTTTCAGCCTGTAAAAGCCTCTGTCCGTGCTGCTGACGTGGAAATGCTCTGAACTTCCTGGTTCTGAGTGATGCCCAATTCATGAATTGTTCTTTGCTCAAATAACCTCGAAGTTTAATTTGTTTAAAGTTTTGCTTTTAGCACCTGATGTTACAGCTAGTTCCTTCTCCCATAATTCCTGAAGTCACTAAGGGGTGCCTCACCTGCACACCCAAGAAACCAGCCTGGCGACCCGTGTCTGCAGTCAGCTCAGCTCTGAGACCACTAGGCCTGGTGTCCATGTGGCAGCTGCCACAACCGCGGGAAAGTAACAGTGAAACCCCACTCAGAGCCCCTTGCCCAGCTGCCAGAGGCTCTCCTGAGTTATAAAAAGATTGCCATTGTCCCTTTCCCTGCCTCTCCCTGCAGCTTCAAGGCTCTCTTCTCTTAGACAAAGAGGGAGGGAAGGGCTCTGTTCCCTCAGGCAAATGGACTAGCAGGACCCTCCTGCTTCCCCCAAGCAAGCCCAGCCCTGCCTCCCTCTCCTGGGGCTCTTGCCAGAGCCCCTGCTGTGTAAGTGAGAAACAGGTCACTACTTGGCTTTTCTAGAAAGTCTATTGACTTAAAAGAGGGGGAGGAGGTGGGGAGCCTGCTGGGGTTATAGGATTAGGCTCTGTGGAGCTGCTGTTAAAGTTTTATGAGCCCGGCCTGCCCGCCAGCACTCTACTCCCCTCAGAAGGCCACGCAGGAGTCCAGCCAACCAGCCAGAGCAGATCCTAACACCTCCGGCTGATTGCTGGGGGACCTCTAAGTTGCTTTGTGTAATCTCTTCTCTTCTCACACCGCTCTGTGTGCCTCTGGCCCAAATCCCTCACCTGGTGTCTGCCCATCCCTTGTTCTCTTACCGGCTTCAGCCAGTGCATTTGCACAAACTACTGGCAGGATGACAGATCGGCCATCAGTATTCATGACCTGGAATCCCAGGAATGGAGTGGGGAGGAGGAGGGGGGCCCAGGTAGGC